CACCTGTGTGGATGATCACAAGCATGTCAGATTTTCAGGTATCTGACAGAGGACTCTCCTACTTGTAATTGCACTTTGGAGATGTGAATGTTAATTTTCTCACCCATATTTCACCACTCGTAGCTTGGATATGCAACCACAAAGATATTCCGGCTTGCTTAAAGCGAATAGCATTGTTTCAGTTCTTTCTACGGTAATTTCAATGTATTAGGTGCCCATCAAGTAGAGGTTATTCGATTGTTTCATTACCCCATGTTTGGAGAGTGGCTCAATTCGCCTTCTTCCGGAAGTTTTCCGGTTCCTTTTTTGTGCGTCAAATCACTTGCTTCTTGGTAGTCAGGCTCCAGATCCCAACTGCCATAGGAAGTACTCAGCTTCAGCCCTTCCAGATGCTGATAGTCCACCGAGGACGTCTATTCACTGCGGCAGGCAAATTGTGCAGTTCTGTCCAGTCCATTATCTCTTGTCGCACTATCATTAGTTGATGGTCATTAGTACCTAATTTTTTCTTGCTGCACCCCAAGTATTAGCTGGTTACTCAATTGCAATGTGTCTCTGAGGTTGGCATTCGCGTCACCCAAAATCCAATGGTCAAGACCGTGCGAGTAGTTATAATGTTTGTATCTTAAGGTAGTCCAGTAGAGCGGTTCACCTGATTTGAGATTTTTCTTGCAAGATTCACTGATTTTAGTGTGCATTGCTTGATGAGCTACACTGCGTTTGCTGGAGTATTTGGTCTATGAGAATTTGATGGCTTCATTGGTGGCGAATTTGGGAAAGTTTTCTGCTTTCCCTGGTTCCGTCCAGAAGTGGAATTTGAACAGCTCTCCCTGACAGTACCTAAAGTGGTGTCGCCTTGCACAAGGGCATCACCTCTCCGGGAAGGGTAAGAGCTCACTAGTGGATGCAATTCTGTTCCCAAATACCCAGTCTCGCATCGTTCTTTCAGCCTCCTTCAGACTACGTTCAGAATAATCACGTTTCATTGTTAATGGGGATAGCTAAATACCTGTTTATTGTGCTACAAGTTGCGCAATCTGAAACTTTGGCCTTAAAAATGTTGACATTCTTAGGCGATTTTAG